CCAACAGGGAAAAACAAGTGAGGCAACAACCCGGCACTGCTCAACCTTCGTTCTACAGGCACTAACTACCTGAAACTACAAAAATATACAGGAAAACAAAACTTGTACCGAGAAAAACTCCGTGTCGCACTAAAATAAAAGCTACAGGGCCACTGGGCAGAGCATTGATCTTCTACACTTTCAGAGTCCGGAGCATTTCTGCCGGGAACGTGAGAGCTGGAGTTATGGCACAAAAAGAAGTTTAGACTGAACTTTGGAGTTTGGTTGGAGTTCTAGTTGAGACAACAAACTTTTGCAACTGGTTGCAAAAATTGTACAACAAGCTTTATTTTGCACCATCGTGTTTTCCTTCAAAAGCATCAACAGATTTTCAAACGATTTTGCATGAAATTTGCATGGGTTTTCTTCTTTTGTCTGCATGCAGATGACATATGCTCTCCAAGGCGACTTTGTTGTTCGTTGAACGCCGTTGCTCTTTCTTACGTGACAGCCACCTTCCCTGGCCTTGAAATCGACCAGTGTCGCCAAGTCGAACAGGTCTACGTAATGCGCAGACTGCCTCTGCTCAACGCTGTTGACCCAGTCTGGTACGCAACGAACTCCAGACGCTTTCATGGAGAAGTAGATTTCCGGCTCTGCTCGCTTGAGGTGATCCTGTAAGAAAGACGTTCCAACCATACCAAACTGGAGCCTCGACGAGCAGCAACCATGCTTCCCCTCCACAACTCTCACGGGCAATAGCCGGGGGGATGAGATCCTAGAGACAGGACTCAAGTAGTGTAGCTTCCTTCGGAAACCTCACAGCTGCTGCTGGGGGTCCTAGAGACTTAGAACTCAAGTCCAAAGTGACTAAACAGCTCCCATTACTTTTGGGCTGTCAACGACAGACCAACCCACTACGGTGGCTGCGACTCCAGACCGATAGGAGCCGGTCGTTGACAGAGAGTGTTAAGCTACAGGAAGATTGGCATGTGCCCTTTCGGCCACATTGTACTTTGCGGATTGAACTAAGATTGAGTCGCGGGCACGAAGTCTCAAAGCTGCTTCTGGAAATGAGTAAGGATGGCTACAACGTTCTTTGCTGATTACACGGTCCGAGTTGTGGCCAGTTTGCATCAGAGCATTGATGGGCAGAGAAAACATCACCTCCAGGAACATCACAGTTTTGGCGCGGCGCAGTACCAAAACTGGTTGGAAGGTGCCCAAACTGGAGGGCGGAGCCCTCTCTTTCGCAGTCTCAAAAAATCAGAGGTGTACACAGCCAGGCTCTTTATGGACCTGGCGGCAAAGATTCGGCCACATGCGCGAAGCGGGCTTTCTGGGCTGAAATGTGGGACCCCGGCCTTTGCTAGAGAGGTTTTGGAGGTGACTATACACTCAGAAGCTTTGACTTCGCAGGAATCTGACCTTCTTGGAGGCAAAAAATTGCCACTGAAGTCAATTGCAGGAGCTTTATGGATTTACACGTCCAAACTTCACATGTCTCCAAATGATGCGAGCTCGCTTTTTGAAACGTTCAAACAAGTGCTTTGTGCCTTCCATAAAGCAACTGAACGAAAGTCTTGTAGTTGGCGGTGTTGGAGCAGATGTCGAGCTGGACAAAGTGGCTTTCGATCTGTAGGTTGTTCTACCATCGTCTGGTTGCGATGTAGCACTAGCTTGAGTCCAAAGTCCCGGACTTCCGTCCCCCAACGGAAGCAGGCCAGAGTGGCGGAGACCCTATTTCTGTTGAGGAAATGCGGTCGGCTTTGCTGCTGGACTCTGATGAGCCGGTCCTCGCATTGGGAAGTGTGTGCCAACGGATGGTGCTAAGGCCCACAAGACCTTGAAAAGTCCACTGCACGATGGGCGTTTGGTGGAAGGAGATCTTTGTCTTTCCCACACTTGTGTAAGCACAAGCCAGACACCTTGAATTCTCGAAGAGAATGAGGGTGGATGTCTGGGTTGGCGACAGATTTCAGGAGCAGTTAGAGTAGAAGGGACTCAGAAGGTTGATGGGTTTTTCGCTGCCTTCCGCAAAGTGGTTGGTAGACGCCCTTTCAATACTGTGGGTTCTGATGACTCTAAAGCAGATCGCATGGAGGAGGTGATGGGGTTTCACGTTCGTCTTTTCCAGTTCAAGCACTGGTTTGGGGGGCAAGACATGTTTGCCGTCTTTGGGCACTTGCGAAAGTCTCAAAGAGACACAGGCAGTGTTAGATGGTCGGACATGTCTGCTTTCAAGCCACCCTTCGTTCCTCCTGTACAGCGTGAGGAGCAGGTTGTGCGCACTTTGGACTGAAAAACGAAGAGAGCGTGAGGACCCTGTGCCACACCACAAACCCCCTTTAAAGCCCTTTAGCCCCTCAAGCCTTGAAGCCCCCTTGAAGCCACCCAAAGCCCCTGATGCCTTGAAGCCCGTTTTACAGAGTTTGGAGGGTTTTTGAAGGGTCCTAGAGTTTTAAAGCTTTTTTCAAGGTTTTGAGAAGGTTTTAGAGAGTTTTGGAAGGTTTTGAGGGTTTTTTTGAGGTTTTTTTGGGTTTTGAAGGTTTTGAGAAGGTTTTAGAGAGTTTTGGAGGGTTTGAAGGGTTTTTTTGAGGGTTTTAGACGGTTTTGGACCGTTTTCAGACCGTTTCCAGACAGTTTTACAAGGGTTTGCCAAAAAACACACAATTTTTCGTTCGGCGGCGCGCCTCCGGCGCGCCGCTCCTTTCTTTTTAATTAAGAATTACTTACCGTACGAGACGCCGCGCCCGGGGATGTTTACAAAACGTTGCGATTCAGGTTGTCGGAGTGTTAAAGCCTTCTTGGCAGCATCTGCGTTTTGCGCGGTATTTACAATGCCTTCCGATTGGCCGACCACCCGGGGAACATCATTTGCAAACCCTCACGCATATGTTATAAACAGCAATTCTCAGTATATGGTTCTTCGCGCAAATATTCAAAAGCTTGGTATGTTGTAAGCAACACCAGAGCAAATCATTCCTTTTTTGGGCGGCAAATGTGGAAGAGTGCCAGTGGGAATGGCCAAAGTGGATGTGCTGAATGGGTTGCCATGTCAACGTGCGAGGCAGTACCCGGTCCTTTTGCTGTAACACCTGATGACCGGCAAAGAGCACCGGATGTGTGGCAAGTGCTGAACTTGCAAGCTTGTGCAGGTGTTGCGGCTTTACGGATATAACATGTTGCAGAACTCGGTTGGTCCTAAGTATTTGGTTCCTGCTATGGGGAAAGTCAGAAGCTTGGAGGAGTCATGTCATGAACTCAAGCCACGTTTCAGACATGCAAGAGCCGAGTTGCACAGAATCCGTGCGAACGCTGCGCAGTTCTTGGAAGCACCAGCATCAAGTTGATCTTCGACATGTGCGCTCGAAGCCGTGTTTGTCCTAAAACGCTCTGGTCCGGAGCGCCGAGTCAGAGCCTCGAATGTTTTGCGCTGTTTGTCCCTTTTTTTGTAAGGGGCCTGGGGCTCAAGAGCGCAGCCTAGTGCAGCCTCGGGCCGCGGGGGGGGGGGCTCCAAAGAACGGGCTCCAAAGTTTCGAGCATGGACGGCGGACGCCATGGCAAGCCTGCTGTCACTGCTCCTGGGAAAGGCGCATAAAGTGGAGCAGTGTAACCAAGCTCTTCGTTGTTTCGCCCTCAGGGCTGCGACTCCAACCTGGATACCTACGGTTTTCTGGTGCTCCAAAGAACGGGGGGGCAGAGTGGGCTGTTTCTTTCTTTTTCTTCGGGCTACCAGACCGGAGCTTAGAGCTCAGGCCTGGGTGGTGCTGGTGCTCTGCTGCTTCGACCTCCTGGCCCGGCTGAAGCTGTGCCGAGAGCGAGGGGCCCAAGAAGGGGGAGACGACACAAAGACACGGCCCCGGCGCCCGCTGCGAAATCCTTCGTGACTGCACAAAAGACATCTGGAGCCGTTCAACTCAGTTTTTGAGTTTCGCATCCTCGCCGCTACCGTCAGGGCCCCCATGGGCCCCACTTTGTCTGAGGTGCTCGGATCTCGCGGCAAAAAGGTCTGAGACTCAGCAGGGCCCCCGCCTTTGGGACTCGGCGCCGTTCGGCACCCCAGGCTTTCACCGGAAATGGCGCGGGTGACAGTGCTCGCTGCGGCACGCGCCCCGGGGAGCACCAGTCACCAGTGGAGTCACCAGAGAGAGCATCAAGATCTGTGGCTGCCAACGCATGAGGATTCGCTGGAGAATGCTAAGCGAACCTCCGCTCGCCAACTCGGTGTTTAGGTGAGTCGAATCAAGATCAGAATCTGTCGCCCACAGGGTCCAGGCAGTGGAAGAACAGGCAGCGCAACTTTGCGTGTTGAGGCTCATATGGCTCCAGCGCAGAGCCTGTTTCATGAGAGCTGGCTTGTGGGGAGTCGCTCTCGGAACGGCTCCGTAGGGGGCTTACGAAGAACCGCAAGCACCAGACGGAGCATGTGACTCTGACGACAAAAGCGCATTCCCCTCCCAATGAGTGAAGAACCGAAAAACCCATCTTTGCGAGCCTCTACAGAGTGAGCCGACTGCGGACAAACTGTTAAATTGGTCGATCTGTTTCTTCACTCTGAGTAAATCAGGTGAACAGCCCAACCCAATCTGTCTGTGCGTGATGTTCAAATAAGCAGTGTCTTCCAGTGGTCTACTTTTCTTGTTTTGCCCGACTCAACACATTCGGTAGTTGTAACATGCTCAGCGCCCAAATCCTTAAGAGGGATGTGCAGTAAAGGTTGGTACTGCTGTCACTGACGTGCGATCCGAGCTGGTACGCAAGGTGTCAAGGGCAAGTGGAAGGAGAAGAGTCGGGAAGAAGGAACTAGTTTCAAGCCCAGATGGCTTGTCAGCCCTGCTAGGTCCACTAGGTCCACGAAGCGAAACAAAAACAGCGCGCGATGAACTGCTTGATTAAAGGCCTGGATCTCCGCCCAGCACAAAAGGGGATACTACAAGGTCTTGTGAGGATAGGTCCTCAGCATGGCTGCAAGGGATTTGGGGAAAACGCTGAAATTCAAGCGACATGGTGATGATGACGACGACGATGATGATGATGATGCCATGCCTGCTATTTCGTGTCGTGAAACCTAAACATGGATGAATGAGGAGTACCACCAGGATGTGAGATCTCACTGATGCAGATTCGGCATTTGCTGAGGCTGCTGCTGCGCCTCTGCTCCTTTGCGGGATTCCAAGTCAAGTGAGAGTGCTGTGCTGTGCTGTGCTGTGCTGTGCTGTGCATGCCGTGCAAGCTGCTCCCCTTTGCAGCGCCCGGCCTGGCGGCCGCTTTTGCAGGCTCACTCGCCAGCTTGGTCCTAGATGTGGATGGCCTAGCAGCCGCGGTTGGAAGCTCAGCAAGCTGATACCAGTACAGACACACAGCCCGTGCTGGAAGCCTTGAATCACCCAGTTCCTCATTGCCGGATGCTGACATACCATGTGTGCACTGACCGTGCATGCAGCGAGGGGACCAGTGTGTTGCTGAGCATGTCTATGCAACGCCGTGTAAGGCTGTTGTATGTCCCATGCGAGTCTGACCTGATGAGTGTGACCAGTGCGTGAGTGAAGGAACGAAGGAACGGACGAACAAGCGAATGACTGAGTGAAAGGAAGGATGAAACAAGGAAGGAATGGCTGAATGAGTGAATATACGTGCGTGCGCGCGTGTGCGTACGAACGTAAATAGGCTGCTGGAGGGGTGGCAGGATGGATGGAAGGAAGGATGGATGTGTGTGAATATGCAAGTATGAAATTATGAAAGGATCAAAGTATGTAAGTATGTAAGTGTGTAAGGATGTATCGATGTTAGACTGTACGTATGTCAATATGTCAGTCACAGTGTTTCAGTATGTAAGTGCGTCTGTAGGTAGGTCGGTCGGTAAGTATGCACGCGTGCATGCACACATGTACTTGTGCGCTTTCGTGCGTTTTACCTCACTTACACAATCGTGCAACACACGGCATGCACCCACTCATGTGCATGTATGGTCCAGGCATGCGACAGCTAACATGCCTCTCCACCACAAATCAAGACTCTGTGACTGCCAGCGGCAAGTCCCGCATTTCACGGAGGTCGGGTCTGCCACCTTCGACTTGATGTGCGTGGTCGGTGCTAGATGCGCCTCGGGCAGGTCCGTGAGGTCCACCCCGAGCAGGAGGGGAGAGAATCTGCAGAATCAGATGGTGATCCAGACCCCCGGCGAAATCTGAAGAGTAGAACGCCCAGTTTGGGACCCTTTGCCACAAAGAGTACTTTTTGGGAACTCCCAAAACGGATCTAGCCCTTGGATCCTCCCAGGGGTCTGGGTATAGATGCAGATGGTGAGATGGAGATATGGTAAATACAAGGTATAGATATAGACATATACAGATATACCGATATTATAGATATGACGGTGCGTATGAATATGGATATGGATACGGGGAAGGGAATAGGTTTAGACATTATACAATGAAGTGATGCTCTCTCGCTCTCCCTTTGTGGTTGTTTCCTTCTTTCATTTTTTCGTTCTTTCTTTTTTGCTGTCTTGTCGCTCTCTCTATCTCGTTCTCTTGCTCCCTACTCTCTTTTCTCTGTTTTTTTTTCATTTTCTCTTTCTCTCACTCTCTCTCTCTCT